AAACACTTATTACAACTAACAGTAAACAAATATATACAGATCTCATGCCTTTTCGGGGGGTGCTTAATAAACTGACAAACTTTAAATCCGAAGAACTGCATGCTTTCATTAGCCATATAGCTGCTCCGTAGACTAGAAAACCCGTCAAAGTAAGAGTCCCGCCTTAGTAAAGGAGATCTCATACATATTTAAACTTACAAAAAATATTAAAATGTATACAAAAACAAATTAGAAGATTAATCATAAAGTATCTTACAATAATGAAGGATTAATATGCATTTAATTTTTACAGTGAAGTGTTGTTTTACATTTGTTTACTTTATTTCTGTACCTGAAAACTGTTAAACCTACCTAAAAAGCACTGTTTATTTAATATGCATCTTTGTTCTGTTGTATTTATGTAGGCCTGCTGAATGTTAAATGGATCCAATCCATGTTCACTAGAAATGTTTTTGATGATGCAGCAATAAAACTGCGAGTATAATTTAATTCAGGTGTTTTTGAACTTTGCTGATTTAAAACATGATCTAAATACTATCTATTTTGATGCCAAAATTTCGAATAAGAGAGGAAGTGACAAATATCGGTATCGGCCAATAAGTGATTGTTAAAATCGGTATCGATATCGGCCCCAAAAAATCCTATCGGTGCATCCCTAATTTTAATGTTTCTTTTTTTATTCAACTTTTTAATTACATGTTCAGAACCACATTTTATTATGGAAACTAAGTTTAAAAAAAGGTTTCCGTTAAAAAAAATACTTAAATGAATAAACTAAACTAAATCAAGATCAGTATAATTATTTTATTGCTTTTGAGAAAGATTAACGGTAACCGTTTTTAAAAATATATATATTTTAATGCTTTTTTTATTGAACTTAAAACATTCAGAACCAAGTTTTATTGCAACTAACCTTACATTTCAGTTAAAGTATGAATGACTAAAACTGAAATAAAAATAAAAGCTGCATAGAAATATAAAACGAAATTAAAATGACAAGCTTTTTTTTTTTGAGTGAATTATTTTTTTATTTTTTTATTAAAAAAATACTTTAATGAACCAACTAAACGAAATCAAGATCAGTAATTATTTGATTACTTTTGAGAAAGATTAATGGTAACTGTTTTCCATTTTCCACGGTGTTCTTTTATTGAACTTTACACAATCAGAACCAACGTTTTGTGATTGCAACTGACCTCACATTTCAGTTAAAGCGTTAATTACAATCACTGAAATAAAAATAAAGCTAACAAATAATAAAACTGGCAAAAGCACATACAATTACTTAAACTAAAGTTCAAATGAAAGCAACAATAATAACACTGGCTGTGAGCTGTTGAAAACCTCGGCTCTGTGAACAGTGAAGCACGCAGTGCATGTATTTCTGTATTGAAATTAGGGCTGCACAATTAATTGCGATTACAATTACAGATGCCACAATTACGTAATCGTTCAAAGCGGCAATTAATCGTTCAAAGTCCACTTAAGTTATTCTGCGTGCTTAAGATGCATTTTTTTCTTTATACATGTTATCTTAAGGGTTTTTCTATTGTTTTAGTATAACATTCATATTTTTACTGTTTTTATATAATTTAAAGAAGAAACCAATCCGATGTTTATTTGATTTTTGAGGCTTAATACTGTAGAAAAGCACTAAAGGTTTTTCAGTTTGAGTGTTTTCAGCTTGTTTATTTTCATATAAAAATACGGCATGCAGTTGCATCAAACAATGGTATAAACATCATTCAATGTAAATTGTGATCATCGTAATTAATAATCGCAATTACAATTTCAAGGGAATAATCGAGAATTATGATTTTTGTCATAATCGCAACCTTTGTGATCGGATAAGTGCACTGAGCCAGATCACGATCTCAGTGTTATTTTGCTGTGATCCTGCAGGTGGTGCGCATTCAGGTGCAGATCCAGGAATCCCTGCGCAGACAGTATTCCCAGCATCCTTCGGTGCAGGGAGCCATTACACAGATGGACTCCGAGCTCATGGACATTACCAAGGTGAATAGAGGCGTTGCTGTAAATGCTGTAAAAGCACCTCGTGATCTGATGCGTTTCAGAAACCTGTTTCTTTCATGTGTCTGCAGCTGTACGGTGAGTTTGCGGATCATTTCCGGCTGTCGGAGTGTAAGCTGGCCATCATTCACTGCGCGGGGCATTCGGACCCCATCCTGGTGCACTCGCTGTGGCAGGAGATCGTGGAGAAGGGTAACGGCTCTCGCTGAGGTTGTCCTCTCGCTGTGCTGTGGGTCGCTGTGTCTGACGGCTGCTGTTGTGTTTCAGAGCTGAGCGACAGTGTGGCCATGAGCCCCGCGGACCGCATGAGAGCTCTGAGCCTGAAGCTCGTGTCGCTGGGGAAGTTATACGCCGGAACACCTCGATACTTCCCATTAGGTACCAGTTTATCGCTAACTAGGGTTGGGAATCGGATACTTAATTCCAGAATCGGATACTTGTTGTCAAATTAATATTTCGATTACGCCTATCCGTGCTTTTATCTGTGAGGACCGGACCTAGCGATCTGCCAGGATCTTGCTCTCTAATCTAAGCGCTCCAAAATTTGGCTACATTTGCGATCAGAAGCCAAAAAAGCGGAGTATAAATGTGAGCCTGGAGCACAAAAGCAGTGTTAAGTCGCTGGGGGATATTTGTAGCAATAGCCAACAATACATTGTATGGGTCACAATTATACATTTCTCTTTTATGCCAAAAATCATTAGGATATTAAGTAAAGATCATGTTCCATGAAGATATTTAGTAAATTTCCTACCGTAAATATATCAAAACTTAATGTTTAATTAGTAATATGCATTGCTAAGAACTTAATTTGAACAACTTTAAAGATGATTTTCTCAATATTTAGATTTTTTTATCAGATTCCAGATTTTCAAGTATCTCCCCCAAAATATAATAAAAATAAAATCAATGGAAAGCTTATTTATTCAGCTTTCAGATGAAGTATAAATCTCAATTTCACAAAACCAGCCACCCTTATGGCTGGTTTTGTGGTCCAGGGTCACATATCTGTGACAGCTAAACATGTTGCAAGAGAGGCGTCACCACCAACATGACAACGCACTTTAATTTAATAGATCGTTAAAGATCGCGAACACGATTCAAACCAATGTGATTCTATTCCTAAATTACAACGATTCGTCTGCTTCATTCCTCAGCCTTTGACGTGTGCGATCAATGTTGTGATCACGTGGATCAGCGTACGATCACATCAGTGTGATCTGAGCATTTAAATCTGCGTCCGCGCTGACGCTGACCTAACGAGAGCAGCTGTCTGTCATGAATGAAACAGCTTCACAGTCTCTTCAGCCACACGGTATCATTATTTCTGTTACAAACATTCAAATCACAGAAGTGCTGGGATAAAAGTTTATAGTTCGGATATAAACTGTGTGTACGGTAGTGATTAAAATAGAGTAAATCACCTTTTGAAAGATATTTGACGCTTCAAATGAAGATTTATCGATTACATTGTTACGCCAGTAGGTGGCTGTATTTGTCTGTGAATCACACAAGAGATTCGTTCAAGAACGCTGATTCATCCAGTAATGAATCAAGTACGTCTCGAGTGAGTCATTGAATCATTCATTCATAAATGACGTGTGATTTTGTTTAGCTGTCTTAATGTTTTTTTCTTCAGAATCATGGGGGGGAAAGAATACAAAATAAAATAACATTTAAAAAATGTATCCAGAATCATGCCGTTCTATTTGGCACACAAACAGCTCTTAAAGAGTCCAGTTTTTATGTAGCCTGTTGATTTTTGTTCATGGTATTCAGCTCCAATAAATGGTTTGCAAAAAAGAGAGACAGGATAAATGTTTGATGTCGTTATTTAATCACATTGGAATTGTAATCCGAATTGATCAAATTCAAACGAAACCCAACCCTCCTCTGAACTGTGTGCCTGTGTCAGGTGATTTTGATCCTCGACTAACTGCTCTTGTTCCTCTTTTGTAAGCCGCTCCGTGTAAATGTAAACCCCGATCTGATCTCGTGCTGTTTTGTGTGATCTTCAGACTTCCTGGTGAAGTTTCTGGAGCAGGAGGTGTGCCGGTTGCACTGGGACGTGGGTTTCGTCACCTTCACCATGCAGGAGATTGGAGTTCAGCTTCCACGACTGCTGGAGGTTTACGACCAGCTCTTCAAGACACGGGTTCGAGAAACTACTGCAGTGTTTAGATGTGGAGCTTTTATTATAAACTACAAGCCCACAGGCTGAACATCACATTTCACTTTCTGTATTTTATCATCTCAGAATCCTCTTAAGGATTGATTAATGGTAGTTATGTATTTATTAAAAAAAAAATTATTTCATTGTATTTTTTTATTTATTAGTCCATTATCCTCTTAAGGATTGATTAATGGAAGTTATGTATTTATTTATTTACTTATATATATATATATATATATATATATATATATATATATATATATATATATATATATATATCACAATCAGAACCAACGTTTTGTGATTGCAACTGACCTCACATTTCAGTTAAAGCGTTAATTACAATCACTGAAATAAAAATAAAGCTAACAAATAATAAAACTGGCAAAAGCACATACAATTACTTAAACTAAAGTTCAAATGAAAGCAACAATAATAACACTGGCTGTGAGCTGTTGAAAACCTCGGCTCTGTGAACAGTGAAGCACGCAGTGCATGTATTTCTGTATTGAAATTAGGGCTGCACAATTAATTGCGATTACAATTACAGATGCCACAATTACGTAATCGTTCAAAGCGGCAATTAATCGTTCAAAGTCCACTTAAGTTATTCTGCGTGCTTAAGATGCATTTTTTTCTTTATACATGTTATCTTAAGGGTTTTTCTATTGTTTTAGTATAACATTCATATTTTTACTGTTTTTATATAATTTAAAGAAGAAACCAATCCGATGTTTATTTGATTTTTGAGGCTTAATACTGTAGAAAAGCACTAAAGGTTTTTCAGTTTGAGTGTTTTCAGCTTGTTTATTTTCATATAAAAATACGGCATGCAGTTGCATCAAACAATGGTATAAACATCATTCAATGTAAATTGTGATCATCGTAATTAATAATCGCAATTACAATTTCAAGGGAATAATCGAGAATTATGATTTTTGTCATAATCGCACGCAACCTTTGTGATCGGATAAGTGCACTGAGCCAGATCACGATCTCAGTGTTATTTTGCTGTGATCCTGCAGGTGGTGCGCATTCAGGTGCAGATCCAGGAATCCCTGCGCAGACAGTATTCCCAGCATCCTTCGGTGCAGGGAGCCATTACACAGATGGACTCCGAGCTCATGGACATTACCAAGGTGAATAGAGGCGTTGCTGTAAATGCTGTAAAAGCACCTCGTGATCTGATGCGTTTCAGAAACCTGTTTCTTTCATGTGTCTGCAGCTGTACGGTGAGTTTGCGGATCATTTCCGGCTGTCGGAGTGTAAGCTGGCCATCATTCACTGCGCGGGGCATTCGGACCCCATCCTGGTGCACTCGCTGTGGCAGGAGATCGTGGAGAAGGGTAACGGCTCTCGCTGAGGTTGTCCTCTCGCTGTGCTGTGGGTCGCTGTGTCTGACGGCTGCTGTTGTGTTTCAGAGCTGAGCGACAGTGTGGCCATGAGCCCCGCGGACCGCATGAGAGCTCTGAGCCTGAAGCTCGTGTCGCTGGGGAAGTTATACGCCGGAACACCTCGATACTTCCCATTAGGTACCAGTTTATCGCTAACTAGGGTTGGGAATCGGATACTTAATTCCAGAATCGGATACTTGTTGTCAAATTAATATTTCGATTACGCTTATCCGTGCTTTTATCTGTGAGGACCGGACCTAGCGATCTGCCAGGATCTTGCTCTCTAATCTAAGCGCTCCAAAATTTGGCTACATTTGTGATCAGAAGCCAAAAAAGCGGAGTATAAATGTGAGCCTGGAGCACAAAAGCAGTGTTGAGTCGCTGGGGGATATTTGTAGCAATAGCCAACAATACATTGTATGGGTCACAATTATACATTTCTCTTTTATGCCAAAAATCATTAGGATATTAAGTAAAGATCATGTTCCTTGAAGATATTTAGTAAATTTCCTACCGTAAATATATCAAAACTTAATGTTTAATTAGTAATATGCATTGCTAAGAACTTAATTTGAACAACTTTAAAGATGATTTTCTCAATATTTAGATTTTTTTATCAGATTCCAGATTTTCAAGTATCTCCCCCAAAATATAATAAAAATAAAATCAATGGAAAGCTTATTTATTCAGCTTTCAGATGAAGTATAAATCTCAATTTCACAAAACCAGCCACCCTTATGGCTGGTTTTGTGGTCCAGGGTCACATATCTGTGACAGCTAAACATGTTGCAAGAGAGGCGTCACCACCAACATGACAACGCACTTTAATTTAATAGATCGTTAAAGATCGCGAACACGATTCAAACCAATGTGATTCTATTCCTAAATTACAACGATTCGTCTGCTTCATTCCTCAGCCTTTGACGTGTGCGATCAATGTTGTGATCACGTGGATCAGCGTACGATCACATCAGTGTGATCTGAGCATTTAAATCTGCGTCCGCGCTGACGCTGACCTAACGAGAGCAGCTGTCTGTCATGAATGAAACAGCTTCACAGTCTCTTCAGCCACACGGTATCATTATTTCTGTTACAAACATTCAAATCACAGAAGTGCTGGGATAAAAGTTTATAGTTCGGATATAAACTGTGTGTACGGTAGTGATTAAAATAGAGTAAATCACCTTTTGAAAGATATTTGACGCTTCAAATGAAGATTTATCGATTACATTGTTACGCCAGTAGGTGGCTGTATTTGTCTGTGAATCACACAAGAGATTCGTTCAAGAACGCTGATTCATCCAGTAATGAATCAAGTACGTCTCGAGTGAGTCATTGAATCATTCATTCATAAATGACGTGTGATTTTGTTTAGCTGTCTTAATGTTTTTTTCTTCAGAATCATGGGGGGGAAAGAATACAAAATAAAATAACATTTAAAAAATGTATCCAGAATCATGCCGTTCTATTTGGCACACAAACAGCTCTTAAAGAGTCCAGTTTTTATGTAGCCTGTTGATTTTTGTTCATGGTATTCAGCTCCAATAAATGGTTTGCAAAAAAGAGAGACAGGATAAATGTTTGATGTCGTTATTTAATCACATTGGAATTGTAATCCGAATTGATCAAATTCAAACGAAACCCAACCCTCCTCTGAACTGTGTGCCTGTGTCAGGTGATTTTGATCCTCGACTAACTGCTCTTGTTCCTCTTTTGTAAGCCGCTCCGTGTAAATGTAAACCCCGATCTGATCTCGTGCTGTTTTGTGTGATCTTCAGACTTCCTGGTGAAGTTTCTGGAGCAGGAGGTGTGCCGGTTGCACTGGGACGTGGGTTTCGTCACCTTCACCATGCAGGAGATTGGAGTTCAGCTTCCACGACTGCTGGAGGTTTACGACCAGCTCTTCAAGACACGGGTTCGAGAAACTACTGCAGTGTTTAGATGTGGAGCTTTTATTATAAACTACAAGCCCACAGGCTGAACATCACATTTCACTTTCTGTATTTTATCATCTCAGAATCCTCTTAAGGATTGATTAATGGTAGTTATGTATTTATTAAAAAAAAAATTATTTCATTGTATTTTTTTATTTATTAGTCCATTATCCTCTTAAGGATTGATTAATGGAAGTTATGTATTTATTTATTTACTTATATATATATATATATATATATATATATATATATATATATATATATATATATATATATATAATATTATTTTATTTTTTTCATTTTTTAAAATGTATTTATTAGTCCATTATCCTCTTAAGGACTGATTAATGGTAGCTATATATTTATTTACTTATATATTTTAAAATTATACATTTAATTTTGTAATTATACATTTATTTGCTTATTGAAAAAAATTAAGAATTCGTATTTGTTGTTAATTTAATACGTTTAGAATTTATTAACCCGTAATACTATTTAAGAATTGCTTTATTTTTTTTAAATATTTTGCATTTATTATTATTATTATTTAACTTTTTCGTTGTTTATTTTATTTATTGATTTATAATACTCTTAAGTATTTTTTTTTGTATCATATTTAATATTTATTTATTTGTATTTATTAATCATAATCATCATAAGGATAGCTAAACCATTATATTTTTCTAAATCTAAATTTCATATTTACTTATTCATTTATAATTATTACATTTCTTATCTTATGATTATTTAATTATTTTTTTGATTTATTGGTCCATAATACGCTTAAGAATTGCTTAACAGAAGTTATATATTCCTTATGTTTTATAATGATATCAAATGTAATTATGTAATTACTCTTGGTTAACACTGGTTGTTTTTATTTACTACTTATTTTTCTAAATTTCATATTCATTTCTATTTTTATTTTGTTTTTCATTTATTATTATTATTGCTGTATCTAAAAGTTAAAAGGTTTGTCGTCTAACTTGACCGTCGAGATTCTGAAGTGTAAGCAGTGTCTGGAGTAAACAAACCCAAAATACTGAAATGTTGATGATAACAATAATAGCTTCTGTTTCTCTCAGGACCCGTGTTGGCAGCGCGTGAAGAAGCCGCTGCACCTGGTGGAGTGCATCCATGTGCTTCTGTCAGGATATGTGAACGATCCCAGCCGTGTGCCCACCTATGACAGGTAACCGTCATGCCTGCCACATCTTTTATACATGATTTTTCACATTCACATTTCTGCCGTTGATTGCAGACGGAGGTTTACCAACGCTTGTCTGGATAACATCTGCGGTTATCTGGTGGAGCTGCAGTCCTTGAGTCCAAACGCGGCCCTGCAGGACATTATACACAACTTTAAATGCCTTCAGACCAAACTGGAGAAGCTCCATTGATGACCGTGAAGTGTTTTGCTCTTGATGTCAGACGTCCTGATACTCCAGCAGCCTGACGCCTCTCATCGCAGCGGGACTTCAGTCTTTATATTCACTGAAGATTTATAATGTTCACTCATCCAGCCCAACAGACGGCCGAAATGAACACCTCAGATATGCGTGCTTTGGTTTGCATACGTTTTTGTGGTCATCAGCAGATATGAAGGTGTGGAATACATGACTTCAGTTTCTTATTCAGTTATTAATTGCTCATTTTGTGTCTGAATGTGTTCATAAACTGTCCGAGGAGGCACTTATTCTAGATATTTTCTCCTGCTGAAACACTATCCGTGGTTGGTAACTTCCCCCGTGGATGCGGTTTTTGACGTTTCTGTATTGAGGTGTGGTTGTGGATGGATGGGATGAAAGGAAACAACATGCTCTCGTGTGTTTTGTGCTAGTCGTCAGGTTCAGCAAGAGACACTTTTATGGAAAACACGTTTTTATGAAAGCCTGAAACTTTCGGCCACCTTCTAGTTTTGTGTAATGTGTATTGCAAATGATTTGAAAATAATAAAGACCAAGAGTTTTGTTTTAAATTACAATTGTGTAAAATGTACAATTTTCTGAGAAAAAATAAAAAAATATGATTTCACTGTATTAGTATATAATATATTAATTTTGTATAATTATATATACACAATATTGATTATAATTTTTATTGTATAGTATACAAATGTTACTGTGTATATATAAAAACAAAGATTTTTTCACATTTATGTTTTTCTAATTAAGTTATTTTTATTAATTGCGTATGAATAACACGATAAGAGCTCCACAGGAAGCATTTATCATTTTTTTTTATTGCAAGAAACAAAAAACAGCACTGCATTACAACAAAAGGAAAAAAGAGAAAAGCAACAAGAGCATCTCGATCAGTAAGAAAAATAGCGTCGTAAGTCTTAAGAAATGTATTATTCTTATTGTTATCAATAAGTTTGAGAGATTTAACAATAGCAATATCAGCGAACTTTAGTGCATCATGAAGACGTATTTCTTAGTAGCAGCAGTTGTAGTAGCAGCAGTATT